GTGTCCACAGGCGCGGTGCCTTACCCATGTGTGCGCTGATGGCCTGGCCCCAGGGAAGCAGCAGGACCGTGACCAGGCCCAGTGTGCCCCCTGCAGCAGTGCAGGAGCGGAAACCACATTCACCAGAGCAGCTGCGACACGCCTTCTGGAACCCACCTGCGCAGCCCACAGCCCCTGCGAAGGCATTGACGGCCCCTGGCATTTACCCCCCACCCCGCTGTAGCTCTTCCCTGAACTCCACAACTGCATGCAAACACAACCAGGTTAAAATGTGGGTCCATCTCACCAGAGGACAGGGCTTGGTGAGAACGCAAATCCCCAAGCCCAGGGCCTCTGACCCCAGGGCTGAAAGGTGGGTGTGGAAAAACACAGGGCCAGTGGAGGAGGCGCTGGGGAAGCTGCGTGTGCAGGGACAAGGGATGGGAGCAGACTCATCATCTGCAAGGAAAGGCTGGCACACACTTCCCTCCTCATGGCTGCCACATCAGGTGGGTGTGGGTGTGATGCCCTGTCCACCTTGTGGGTGCTCAGGCCACAGCAAGATGAGCTGGGCAGTCAGTGAACTGGAAAATGCGCTCCGCAGCCCACGTTACCAGGAGCCGTCCTGAGGATGCACCTGTCTGGAGGCTCCTTGGAAGGAATTTCCCAACCTTGATAACCTCAATGAGGAGAGCATTCTCTTCTGACTCACAAGTTTGCTGAAAGAGGACGGTGGGCAAGGGGGGCACTATGGCTGGCCAGACCCTGCTGGCGTGGGGACCTGGTAGCAGGGTAGGGGACAGGCATCCCTGGACCCAGGTCCTGGTGCAGGAGGCCCAGGCCTCGTAGGCCTGCAGCCCTGCTCACTTCTCCAGAGCAGCACCCAGGACAGGCAGAGCCGACCAGATGGGCTGACCATGGATGAGGGTCTCCAGGTGCTTCCTCACCTCTGCTGCCTCCCTGACACCAAACATGCCGAGAAAACTGGGCCACCAGCGTTTGGTTGGAAACACCACTGGGTTTCCACACTGGCTTCATTTTGTTGAAACTAACACCCATCAAGCTGGGTTACATGTGAAGCTTTAAGGGAAAAAGCTTTTCACCGGGTACATTTCTACAGGTAACTGCCCAGCCTCATAATCAGAAAATTCAGGGTAACCACCTGTCATCAACTGTGCCTCCTGACAATCCCCATGAGGCCACACACACCTGGCCTGTGCACACCCGCGAGGGCAAGGGGTACGCAGAGCAGGGTCTGCGGATGCGTCGGAGCTGCTGCCCTGCTCGTTCTTGTTTCTCCTGTCACCAGGACCCTCAGCAAGCCTAGCTCTGCCCCAAGGGGTAAGCTGGGCCCAAGCGGCTGGCATGGGACGGCCTCATCCTGCCCAGCTTTCCCAGGGCCTGCCCAGCCCTCCACAGCTGAGACCAAGAATGGGCCTGTCTGGGACTTGAAACAAGCAGGGTTTTTTTTTTTTTTGAGCTGGAGTCTCTCTGTCACCCAGAGACTCAGCGCTGGAGCGCAGTGGGCAATCTCGGCTCACTGCAACTTTCACCTCCCAGGTTCAAGCCATTCTCCTCCCTCAGCTTCCCAAGTAGCTGGGATTACAGGCACCTGCCACCACGCCCAGATAATTTCTGTATTTTTAGTAGAGACGGGGTTTCACCACGTTGGCCAGGCTGATCTCAAACTCCTGACCTCAGGTGATCTGCCTACATCGGCTTCTCAAAGTGCTGGGATTACAGGCGTGAGCCACTACACCTGGCCGGTAAATGGGTTTCTAAAGCTAGGCACGTATACAGGTTGTATTTTCTCTAAATTTCATTGCAAGAAAGCAAAGGAAGGATTTAGAGGAGCTCTGTTATAAACAGAGGGCTGAAATGCCTGGCCCCACCCAGGCCCTGTGCCAGGCTCGGTGCAGCATGGCTGCACAGACTCACCGCACCAGCAACGCCCTGGGCGGGCAGCCTGGCAACAGAAGCCCAACATGCACTTCTACCTGGGACAAGAGCCGCCCACACCAGACACTCCAGAACCGCGGGCCCCAGCACCTGAGGCGTCACTGGGGCCATTCTTGATACCACCAGCTCCACCTGAACCCGAGTGAGGCTGCCACGAAGCAGAGGTCCCACAGCAGAAGCCACTGTGGATGGGGGGCCGCGATCCACAGGGTGGGCACTGGAAGCTGCCAAATGCTGTCAACAGCAGGGAACCTGCACCGCAGACGAATCCGAGGGAGGTCCACGAAGCCAACTTCACCTCGGGTCCTAATCACCAGACAGGCAGCTGTGCTATCACCCGCTCAGCAGACCCCCAACCCCCTCCGGGGCGGTCACAGCTTTGGGTCCCCAGACGGGCAAGGAAATCAACCTCTCAGGAGCAGAAGCCCCACATGGCTGAGCATGTGGGGGCCATCCTGTCCCTGCCCTCAAACCCAAGAGCAACACAGGAAGCAGGTCAGGCATGGAGGAAGGCCCTCGAGGCCACCGACTCCTGCCCCCTTTCCAGGCATGGCAAAGGCACAGGACCATACCCAAAATGAACATGGCTGTGCTGACAGGTACCAAGAGGCTTTTCTTTTTTTGAGATAGGGTCTTGCTCTGTCACCCAGGCTGGAGTGCAGTGGCACAATCTCAACTCACTGCAGCCTCGATCTCCCAGGCGTGAGCAATCCACCCATCTCAGCCTCCTGAGTAGCTAAGACTACAGGCATGCACCACCACATGGGACTAATTTTTTGTATTTTTTGTAGAGAGAGGTCTCACTATGTTGCCCAGCCTGGTCTCAAACTCCTGAGCTCAAGCAATCCACCCACCTTGGTCTCCCAAAGTTCTGGGATTACAGGTGTGCACCACCACACCTGGCCCCAGTAGGCTTTTCTTTTCTCAGGGATCTCCTGAGACAGGGTCTTGCTCTGTCGCCCAGGCTGGAGTGCAGCACCTGGATCATGGTTTAGTGCAGCACCTGGATCATGGTTTACTGCAGCCTTGACCACCTAGGCTCCAGTGATCCCTGCCTCAGCCTCCCGAGTAGCTGAGACTACAGCTGCATGCCACCTTGCCCTGCTGATTTTTGTATTTTTTTTTTATAGAAACAGGGTCTCACTGTTGCCCAGGCTAGTCTCGAACCCCTGGGCTCAAGTGATCCTCCCATTGATCCTCGGCCTCCCAAAGTGCTGGGACTCTAGGTGTTAGCCACCATGCGCCCAGCCTTCTGAGACATCTTAACAGGAAAGACGCATGAGCTCATGTGAGGCCTGCCACCAGGGCGACCCCCTTACCTGCACCCACACCTGCCCAGGGCTGGGATGTACCAGGATCAGCCCAGCCCCCCTGAAACATTCTCAGCTGGGGACTTTCCTTCTCCCTAGAGGATGAAAATGGAAACACAGAGCCCTGAGCGCCCTGTCCAGGGCTGCACTTTCAGCTGAAGGTGCGCGGAAAGGCTACAGGGCCCAGCCCACAGCTTCAGGAAGGACAATTTCACACCCAGCAGCACAGGAAAGGAAACAGGTATGAGGCCCACAAACCATGTACTTTGAACCCGCAGAATAAAAGATTTAGTTGCCATTTAAAAAACAAAACACAGAGTTGGGGCAGTGGCTCACGCCTGTAACCCCACCACCTTGGGAGGCCAAGGCGGCTGGATCACTTGAGGTTGGGAGTTCGAGATCAGCCTGACCAACATGGAGAAACTCATCTCTACTAAACATATAAAAATTGGCCAGGCATGGTGGCTCACACCTGTAATCCTAACACTTTGGGAGGCCGAGGCAGGTGGATCACCTGAGGTCAGGAGTTTGAGACCAGCCTGGCCAACGAGGCAAAACCCCGTCTCTAGTAAAAATACAAAAATTAGTCGGGCATGGTGGCAGACACCTGTAATCCCAGCTACTGGGGAGGCTGAGGCAGGAGAATAGCTTGAACCCAGGGATGGAGGTTGCAGTAAGCCCAGATTGTACCACTTCACTCCAGCCTGGGTGACAGAGTGAGACACCATCTCAAAAACAAACAAAAAACTAGCCAGGTGTTGTGGCATGTGCCTGTAATCCCAGCTACTTGGGAGGCTGAGGCTCAAAAATCACTTGAACCCGAGAGGTGGCAGCTTCAGTGAGCCGAGATCAAGTTACTACACTCCAGCCTGGGCAACAGAGTGAGATTCTGTCTCAAAAAAAAAAAAAAAAAAAAAGAAACACAGGCAAAATAATAGTAAAAGAGTGTAGCACAAATGCTGAAAATGCTTTCTGCTGCTGCAGGGCTATAACTGCTTCTCAGAGACAGGGTCTTGTTCTGTCACTCAGGCTAGAGAGCAGTGGTGCGATCACAGCTCACTGAAGCCTCAAGCTCCTGGGCTCTAGAGAGCCTCTCACCTCAGTGCGACTACATGTTAAGATAGTGAGCCTATCTTAACATAGACTAAGATGTGAGATTTGCTACTTTTAAAAATCATTTTTAATATTTCTGCTCAAATGGTTTAAACTAAATTTAGTTTTAAATCTAAATTTCAAAAACAATGAAAAGACCTAGATGAGTGAAAAGAAACATTTTCCGAAAACATTCTTAGCTACTGTGCACCCAGAGCTCAGCTGAGGTTCCCACACAGGTGGGCAGGGCAGGGCAGGGGAGGGGGCCGTTTCAGAAGAGGAGCTGAAAACAAACAGCTCGGAACTGACTGCCCCCAACAAGAATCATGAGCAGAGTTCACAAAACACAAAACTCAGTTTCTCATTTTAAGACACAGGTAATGTTTTTAAAAAAGAAATGGAAAAAAGAGGAGGCCAGAGCAGGCAGGAGCTCCCGCGCTCAGGCCCAGCTCCTGTGTCCCGGGAAGACGGGTTCAGCTCCAGTCCCTTAAACCCAATACAACACAAGGCTTTGCCAACCAAACATGGCCACAAGACCGCCCACGTGCTGCGGTGGCCCCAGCGCCCGCCCCGGGTCAGAGCAGAGAGCACGGAGTCACACGATGCAGCCTCCCAGGGAGGCACGGGCTTCTTCCACAGCACCAAGACCAAGACAGGAAATAGGAAAAGGGACTTTATTTATTAAAGAAAAGTCATCTGTGAGTGACTAGTTAAATTAGCATGCCTGACATTAACACTCTGGGTTGAAACCTGCCTCCGTCAAATAACAAATAACACGTGGGCTCTCCAAGCAAACGTCTAGGGGCAGTTCAAGCAGCAACTCAAGAGCCCAGAGGAGCACGGGAAGAAGCAGTCACTTCACTTCCTAGTGCCACAAGCACTTTTTTGTAAACACCTGTCAGATGCTAAAAATACGGCCTTACACACTACCGTCACCAGAGTTTATAAGCAATCAGATCACAGTGCAGGAGCAGCCGCGGCGCCACCAACAGTCCAGGACCGAGGAGCTGAAGTGAGTTTCCAGGCGATGTCCGCTCTGCCCTGGGCTGCGCTGGGGGCTGCTGTGGCTGGACAGCCGAGTGGAGCAGCGCCACCTACGTGCGATTTAGTGTCTGGAAGATTCTAGAGATCTGCAGCATGACAGGACCCGTTTCTGGATCGTTCATCCACTGGGTGCTGTTCAGCGGGTTCTCCAGCATGTCTTCAAATGCTGCAGGAGAAAAAGAGCCAGCCTGAGTGCCCACGCCCCCAACTCAGCCCACAGGCCCCAGCGTGACTTTCCTCTTCCACAGCTTCCTAATGGAGAGGGTGTGTCTCCAGTGCAAAGGCCACACAGAGCCCTGCCAACTGTGCACTCTCAGCCTGAAACCCACCCAGCTTCGTCAGATGCACCGATCAAATCAGGAGATCCGATCACAATCACGCACTCAATTCTGGCGGGCAGCCGCCAGGGCTCAAAAATCATCTCCCTCAGCAACTCAACTTCCAATCCCACCCCGAGAAGGTCAGCAGATGCAGAAAGGACATACAAAGGCACTGTTGCAAAGTTAACAATAAATTGGAAAACCATAATGCTCAGCCTTAGAAAAATGACTTCTTTAAAAAACCAGCACTTTAAAAATGCAGCACAGCACTTCCTCCAAATGAAAACGTGGGTCTTCTGAACAGCTTTATACAACTGCTTCCCTGAGCAGCTGCCTTTTAGCAAACAGCTCTCCGTTCCCCACACTGTGAAGGAGCACACGGTCTGCTGGCTGCTGGCCCCTCTGCCTGATTGATGGCTCCACTCTGACCTGACACCCATGGGAGCACTTACAGGCTCCAGGCAAAGTGCTCACTACAGGAATTCACAGCCATTCACGGCCCAGGAGCCAGTGGCTGAGCAGAGCTCAGAGTGAACCTGACTTGGCTCTGTTCATGACTGGACAACCCCCAGGTCCTAAAACAATCCCTTGGTGTTCCCATTAAAAGTCCCTGAAAACCACTTCAAATCTCAGAAAGAGACCAAGAAAGATAATGCCAACCTGGTGTCTCTGAGAACAAACTATAAGGTACAAAGCAGCTGTTCCCCACACAGGGCGGGGAACTTAATCTCCTCTCAACAAACAGCAAAATGAATTCTGGAAGGATCAAAGAGATGAACAAAAAGACGAAGAAAGGGAGTTAAATATGAAAAACCACACAGATGATTATTTATCTGAGGAAGGACTTTCCTAATTTTTTCTGAGACACAGTCTTGCTTTGTTGCCCAGGCTAGAGTGCAATAGAGTCATCATGGCTCACTGCAGCCTTGAACTCCCAGGCTCAAGTGATCTCCCCGCCTCAGTCTCCTGAGTAGCAGGCATGCCACCATGCCTGGTTGATTGTTTTTTCTTTTTCTTTTCTTTTAGATGGAGTCTTGCTCTATCGCCCTGGCTGGAATGTAGTGGCCCATCTAGGATCACTGTAACCTTTGTCTCCCAGGTTCAAGTAATTCTCCTGCCTCAGCCTTCTGAGTAGCTGGGACTACAGGTGCACACCACCACGCCCAGCTAATTTTTGTATTTTTAGTACAGATGGGATTTTACTATATTGGCCAGGTTGGTCTCGAACTCCTGACCTTGTGATCTGCCCGCCTCAGTCTCCCAAAGTGCTGGGATTACAAGTGTGAGCCACAGCGCCCGACCTGTTTTTTGTTTTTGCTTTTTTTTAGTAGAGAGAAGGTCCTGCTATGTTACTCAGGCTGATCCTAAACTCCTGAGCTCAAGCAATCCTCTCACCTCAGCCTCCCAAAGTGCTAAATTACAGGCAGGAGCCACAATGCCTAACCTGAGGAAAGACTTTATCTTGTATATCTTAACTTTTGTATGTCAGAGAATGCCACACAAAATTAGAGGGCAAAAACAGTTTACAAAAGGCAACAAAAGTAGATGTCCCTAACATACAAGAAGCTATTAAGAAAGCTCTAAGATTAATATTGTAATTGAGAAACAGATGGGCCAGGCGCAATGGCTTACGTCTATAATCCCAGCACTCTGGCAGGCAGAGGTGGGAGGCTCGCTTGAAGCCAGAAGATCAAGACCAACCTGAGCAAAAAACATGAGATCCCATCTCAACAACAACAAAATTGGCTGGGCATGGTGGTGTGTGCCTATAGTCACAACTACCCGGGAGGATGACAACTTGAGCCCAGGATGTCAGGGCTGCAGTGAGCTGTGACTGTACCACTGCACTCCAGCCTGGGTGATGGGGCAATACCCTGTCTCCAAAAAAAGGAAAGGATAAAAAACAGATGACAGGCAATACGTAAAAGAAGAAATGCAATGGCTAACAAAATATCCAACACTGCCAATAACTAAAAGGAATACAAATTAAAACAATGGGGGTCTTGTCTATGATATGGAGGTAGGTGAGTGTGTGTGCTGGGGGCAGATTTTGCATGGGCAGTGGCGCCATCACTGCACTCTAGCCTGGGTGACAGAGCAAGATCATGTTTCTATTAGAAAAAGAAAAAGGTTTTTTGACAGACCCCAAGGCAGCACACACTAATATCCTAAGGTATACAAACAGCAGGAGAGCTAGGAGGAATATGCTTTCAGTGTGAAAGGAATCACTAAGAATAAAAATAAATTCACAAAAGACCATTCTCAGGTTTTAGAATTTGGGTACAAAGAAGATCCCTACCTCACACCACACACATACTTCTGGGTAGATTATAGACTTAAATGAGAGAAACTTCAACGTTTTTGGGAAAAAAATAAAGGAAAATGTATTTCTGACTTTGGGATAGGAGGGTTTTCTTTAAAGATTCACATTCTAAAAGAAAACACAGACACATTTAAGGACATTAAGACACAGAATTCTGCCCATCAGCATGAGTAAATAAGTCAGAAACTAAACAACAGCATCTGCAGCACAATTAATAGGGAAAGGGTCAGGATCTAGGAGGTGAGGACCTTTCTGAATGAATAAGAAAACAATCCAAGAGAAAAGCAGGCCAAATGCTGAGTGGAAGCCCTCTCATGGCCGAGGTCCTACAGGTGGCCAATACGCTTCTGAAAGAAGGCCAGCCTTTAATCAAGATCAGGGCATGGCTGTCACAGTACCAGAGACACCTCCAGCCTACTCAGGTAGCAAAGGCCCTCCCAACATCCAGGGCCTTGGCTCCTGGGGTCCGCAGGAACCCTGCGATCCTAGCCCTAGGTATTTGGCCTAGAGAAACCCTCATCCCAGCTCCCTGGCAATGGGAACACTAAGAGCAGCACCACATGCAGACAACCCAAGGACCATGAGATCCCCGGTGCCTTCCATCAACGAACTACTCCACAATTCCCACAAAAAATGCAGTCAGTCAGTCACAGAGGCCTGTTTGAAACGTGATTCTACTTACACAAAGGCAGCAACAAATGAGAGATTGTTTGAGGAGACACAAATACGAGAAAACTCTACAGGGAAGCAGAAGTAAGCCGTGGCAACAGTGATGACCACACTGGAGGGAGGGATAAGGTGTGGGGGGAAGGGGCACCCCAGGCCCGGAGCTGAATGATAGATATGTGGCTGTTAGTTTTATTCCTTAAAGTTATAGCATCGTATATACTTTTGTATGTAGGTATCTCACAATAAAAATAAACAATTACCAGTGAAGTCCCTGACAAAGAGTAAGACCAAAAGTCCAAACCATGCCTTGTCCTCACGTGAGTTCCTAAGCTGCTGGTGCAGTCTCCACCCTGCTGGCCCTTGGAAAGCCACTGGCACCAGTTTTCTGAAGCCTGTATCAGAGTTATCGTGCAGGAGACAGTCACAATGCAATCAGAACATGACCTGCAGGCCCCACAGTGACACAGCAGAGCTACACCTGTGGGATGCCAAGGTGCATGGCAGGACATGCCACCAGGGCACAGCAACCCTCAGCACGGGATCCTCTGTGTTGCCTCCATGGCACCTGCGTGTCCTGCAAGGGAACAGTCAGCCTCCCCCACAGCAAGTGAGTGTGAAGAAGGTGTACATACCTAGCAAAGTTTTTGGGTTGGTCAGGCCCAGCTGCACCACTGGGTTATCCAGGATGGCCTGAAAGAGAGGACTGTCGGGGTCGATGCCCTTGTCCAGCTCCTCCGGGGACGGCTTCCGGTCCCCCAGCAGCCACTCGCACTGCAAAGCCAAGAGCACCAATACCACCATTAGCCCTTCAGTGCCTCTGCAAGACACCACCAGCAGCAAGGACTACAGCTGCTCCGGCACCCTGCTGTGAGTTCCTGTTGAGGCCCCGAGGCTGCTCTCACTGGAAGGGACCCTACCATGAAGACAAACCCAGCCCAGATTCACTGCTGTGCATGTCAGACCAGGCCAGAGAGAGAAGGAAGAGCCAGTCTGCTTTTCTTTGCAGACCCCGGCATTGAAGAGATCACTGACTGCTGCTGCTTCCCCAGTTACCTGGGCCAGCATGGTCCACCCAGGAGTGTTGGGAAGATAATTAACAAATGTACCAAGCACCCAGCTTGCCTGTGGTCCTGTTACGGGCAGTTAGTAGGGCTGGAGACATTAGGATACAGGCTCCTTATCTCCATCTCGGAGTTGTGAGCTGCCAGCTCCACTGGTTAGTGGGGGGTGGGGTCAGCCACCACGGGGCCCTCGCCAGGCAGAGCTCCATTAGCCCAGCTGGCACACATGCACAGGGTGGGAATCATTCTGAGTCAGTTTAATATAAATGGGCTGGGTGTGGTGGCTCATGCATGTAATCCCAGCACTTCAGAAACCAAAGCAGGAGGATCAATTAAAGCCAGGAGTTCAAGACCAGCCTGAGCAACAAAGGGAGATCTCATCTCTAAAAAACTAAAATCAATTAGCTGAGTGTGGTTGTGCATGCCTGTGGTCCCAGCTACTCAGGAGGCTGAGGCGGGAGGATCGCTTGGGCCCAGGAGGTCGAGGCTGCAGTGAGCATGATCACACAACTGCACTCCAGGCTGGGGGACAGAGTGAGACCCTGACTCCAAAATCAATTAAAAAAAAAAAAGATAAATGTACAAATTACCTATCCATAGAGTATGTACACACAAGGCACTGTTTTAGAAAGACAAAGCCTAGGCCGGGCGCAGTGGCACACGCCTGTAATCCCAGCACTTTGGGAGACAGGCAGATCACGAGGTCAGGAGTTCAATACTAGCCTGACCAACATGGTGAAACCCCGTGTCTACTAAAAATACAAAAAAATTAGCTGGGCATGGTGGTGCATGACTGTAATCCCAGCTACCTGGAAGGCTGAGACAGGGGAACTGCCTGAACCCGAGAGGCAGAGGTTGCGGTGAGCCAACATCACGCCACTGTACTCCAACCTGGGCAACAAGAGAAAGACTCCATCTCAAAAAAAAAAAAGACTAGAATTTTGTATTTTTAAATTTTTGTATTCTTTGAGACGGCTACCCTATTATCTCACTTAAACAGCCACACACTTCACTGCACGTGAAAGCAAGCAAACATACAGCCTCCACCGTGAACAAACAGGCAGTCAGGAGTGACGCTCCCAGCACCCACCCAGCCCACCACTCACTCATCCAGCCCAGCACTCACTCACCACAGCCCAGAACTCGCTCACCACAGCCCAGAACTCGCTCACCACAGCCCAGAACTCACTCACCCAGCCCAGAACTCACCACAGCCCAGTACTGACTCACCACAGCCAGATACTCACTCACCACAGCCCAGCACTCACTTACCCAGCCCAGCACACACTAACTGAGCCCAGCACTCACTCACCCAGCCCAGCACACACTCACCACAGCCCAGCACTCACTCACCATAACCCAGCACTCACTCACCACAGCCCAGCACTCACCACAGTACAGCACTCACTTACCACAGCCCAGCACTCACTCACCATAGCCCAGCACTCACCATAGCCCAGCACTCACTCACCACAGCCCAGCACTCACACAGCTCAGCACTCACTCACCACAGCCCAACACTCACCCAGCCCAGGACTCACTCACCCAGCCTACCACTCACTCACCCAGCCAGGGACCCACTCACCACAGCCCGGCACTCACTCACCCAGTCTGGCACTCACTCAACCAGCCTGGCACTCACTCACCACAGCCTGGCACTTACTCACCCAGCCTAGCACTCACCCAGCCCAGGACTAACTGACCCAGCCTAGCACTCACTCATCCAGTCCAGCACTCACCCAGCCCAGGACTCACTCACCCAGCCCAGCATTCACTCACCACAGCCCAGCACTGACTCACCCAGCCCAGCACTCACTCATCACAGCCCAGAACTCATCCCAGCCCAGCACTCACTCACCCCAGCCCATCACTCACCACAGCCCAGCACTCACCCAGCCCAGGACTTACTTGCCCAGCTGAGCACTCAGCACTCACCCAGCCCAGGACTCACTCACGGAGCCCAGCACTCACCCAGCCCAGGACTCACTCACGGAGCCCAGCACTTACCCAGCCCAGGATTCACTCACCCAGCCCAGCATTCACTCACCAGAGCCCAGCACTTACCCAGCCCAGCACTCACTCACCACAGCCCAGCACTCACTCACCCAGCCTAGCACTCACTCACCCAGCCCAGCACTCACTCACCCAGCCGAGCACTCATTCACACAGTCCAGCACTCACTCACCACAGACCAACACTCACCCAGCCCAGGACTCACTCACCCAGCCTACCACTCACTCACCCAGCCAGGGACTCACTCACCACAGCTCAGCACTCACTCATTCACCCAGCCCAGCACTCAGCCAGCCCAGGAATCACTCACCCAGCCCAGCACTCACTCACCCAGATGAGCACTCACTCACCACAGTCCAGCACTCACTCACCACAGCCCAGAACTCACCACAGCCCAGCACTGACTCACCCAGCCGAGCACTCAACTCACCACAGTCCAGCACTCACCCAGCCCAGGACTCACTGACCTAGCCCAGCATTCACACACCCAATCCAGCATTCACTCACCACAGCCCAGCCCTGACTCACCACAGCCCAGCACTCACCCCCCACAGCCCAGCACTGACCACAGCCCAGCACTCACTCACCCAGCCCAGCACCCACTCACCAGCCCAGCACTCACCTAGCACAGCCCCACACTCACCACAGCCCAACACTCACTCACCCAGCCCAGCACTCACTCACTCAGCCCAGCACTGACCCAGCTCAGGACTCATTCACCCAGTCCAGCACTCATCCAGCCCAGGACTCACTCACCCGGCCCAGCATTCACTCACCACAGCCCAGCACTCATTCACCCAGCCCAGCATTCATTCACCACGTGATACTCATTCATGCAGCCCAGCACTCACTCACCACAGCCCAGGACCCAGACCAGCACTCACTCACCCAGCCCAGCATTATCCACAGCACAGCACTCACTCACCACAGCCCAGGACTCACCCAGCCTAGTACTCACTCACCACAGCCCGACACTCACTCAACCAGCCCAGCACTCACTCACCACAGCCCAGCACTCACTCACTCCAGCCCAGCACTCACTCACCACAGTCCAGCACTCACTCACCCAGCCCAGCACTCACTCACCCAGCCCAGCATTCATTCACCACAGCCCAGGACCCAAACCAGCACTCACTCACCCAGCCCAGCACTCTCCACAGCACAGCACTTACTCGCCACAGCCCAGGACTCACCCAGCCCAGTATTCACTCACCACAGCCCGACACTCACTCAACCAGCCCAGCACTCACTCATCACAGCCCAGCACTCACTCACTCCAGCCCAGCACTCACTCACCACAGCCCAGCACTCACTCACCACAGCCCAGCACTCACTCACTCCAGCCCAGCACTCACTCACCACAGCCCAGCACTCACTCACCACAGCCCAGCACTCACCCAGCCCAGTGCTAACTCACCACAGCCCAACACTCACTCACTACAGCCCAGCACTCGCTCACCCAGCACTCACTAACCATAGCCCAGCACTCACTCACCCAGCACTCACTAACCATAGCCCAGCACTCACTCACCCAGCCCAGCACTCACTCACCACAGCCCAGCACTCACTCACTGCAGCCAAGCACTCACTCATTCAGCCAGCACTCACCCAGCCAAGCACTCCCTCACCACAGCGACACTCACTCACTCAGCTCAGCACTCACTCTCTCACCCAGCACTCACTCAGCCGAGCACTCACTCACCACAGCCTGACACTCACTCACTCAGCTCAGCACTCACTCACCCAGCCCAGCATTCAGCCAGCCCAGGACTCACTCACCCAGTCCAGCACTCACCCAGACCAGGACTCATCCAGCCCAGCACTCACTCACCACAGCCTACCACCCAGCCCAGCACTCACTCACCACAGCCCAGCACTCATTCACCATAGCCTAGCACTCAGTCACCACAGTCCAGGACTCATCCAGCCCAACACTCACTCACCACAGCCCAGCACTCAGTCACCACAGCCCAGGACTCACCCACCCCAGCACTCAGTCACACAGCCAGCACTCAACTCACCACAGCCCAGCACTTGCTCACCACAGCCTAGCACTCAGTTACCACAGCCCAGCACTCGCTCACTCAGCACTCACTGACCCAGCCTAGCACTTACCCAGCCCAGCACTCACTCACCACAGCCCAACACTCACTCAGCCCAGCACTCACTCACCACAGCCCAACACTCACTCACTGCAGCCCAGCACTCACTCATCCAGTGCAGCACTCACTCAACACAGCCTGACACTCACTCAGCAGAGCCCAGCATTCAACCAGCCCAGCACTCACTCACCACAGCCCAGCACTCACCCAGCCTAGCACTCACTCACCACAGCCCAGCACTCACTCACCACAGTTCAGCACTCACCCAGCCCAGCACTAACTCACTGCTGCCTGACACACTCACTCACCCAGCCCAGCACTCAGTCACAACAGCCCAGCACTCACTCAACACAGCCCAGCCCTCACCACAACCCAGCACTCACTCAGTCAGTGCAGCAGTCACTCAACACAGCCTAACACTCACTCACCAGAGCCCAGCATTCACCCAGCCAAGCACTCACTCACCACAGCCCAGCACTCACTCACCACAGCCCAGCACTCACTCACCCAGCACAGCACTCACCCTGCCCAGCACTCACTCACCACAGCCCAGCACTCACTCACCCAGCACAGCACTCACCCAGCCCAGCACTCATTCACCACAGCCTAGCACTCACCCAGCCCAGCACTCACTCAGCACAGCCTGACACTGGCTCACCCCAGCCTGACACTGGCTCACCCCAGCCCGACACTGACTCACCCAGCCCAGCACTGACTCACCCAGTCCAGTACTCACTCACCACAGCCCAGCACTCACTCACCACAGCCCAGCACAGACTCTCCACAGCCCAGCACTGACTCGCCACAGCGCAACACTCACCCAGCCCAGGACTCACTCACCCAGCCAGGGACTCACTCACCACAGCCCAACACTCACTCATGTAGCACTCACTCACTGTAGCCCAGCAGTCACTCACTACAGTCCAGCACTCACCCAGCCCAGCACTCACCACAGCCCATCACTCACTCACCACAGCCCAGCACTCACTCAACACAGCCCAGCACTCATTCACCCAGCAGAGCACTCACTCAACACAGCCCAACACTCACTCACCAGAGCCCAGCATTCACTGAGCCCAGTACTCACCACAGCCCAGCACTCACTCACCACGGCCCAGTACTCACTCACTCGGCCCAACACTCACTCACCACAGCCCAGCACTCACTCACAGGGCCCAGCACTCACTCACCACGGCCCAGCACTCACTCACTCGGCCCAACACTCACTCACCACAGCCCAGCACTCACTCACAGGGCCCAGCACTCACTCACCACGGCCCAGCACTCACTCACCACGGCCCAGCACTCACTCACATGGCCCAGGACTCACTCACCACAGCCCAGCACTCACTCACCCAGCCCAGCACTCACTCACCCAGCCCAGCACTCACTCGCTGCTGCCCGACACTCACCGCAGCGTTCTGCTGGTTGTTGTTCACTCTGAGGGCGTCTATCACCTCCTTCTCGTCGAACCCCATTTCCATCAGGGAAATGACAGCCTAGAGGACAGCACAGCCATGAGCTCACTACATGACAGGAGGCTGATGAACCAGCGCCCACATGCAGGGAGGCCGCCCTGCTCCATGGCACCCTAGTGGAGGGGCTCCAAACAGCAGCAGACGTTCTCTGTCCAGTTTCTCCCCCCACAGCTCTACTGAAACACATCTTGGTTTGAGGCATCCTAAAGCCCAGGAAGTGCGGGTCTGACTGTAGTCAGCAGAGCCGCAGGCTGTGGCGGGCAGAAACGCATTGCTCATGTGGACACGAGGCAGTCAGGCCAACCTCAGACTCTTTCAGGTTTGTCCACAGCCAGTCTGAACTGCACTGTCAGATGCTTTAAAGAGAACCAGGTAGAACAAGACTTCAGCTATGGGCAGAGCTCAGGAAGGATGCTGGCTGGAGATAAATTTGTGCATGGTCAGTTAAAAAGTCCCAGCCAGGTGCAGTGGCTCATGCGTGCAATGCCAGCACCTTGGGAGGCTGAGGCAAGTGGATCACTTGAGGTCAGGAATTCGAGACCTACCTGGCCAAAGTGGGGAAACCCTATCTCTACTGAAAATACAAAAATTTGCTGGGTGTGGTGGCACACACCTGTAATCCCAGCTACTTGGGAGACTGAGGCAGGAGAACTGCTGGAACCCAGCAGTTGGAGGATGCAGTGAGCTGAGACAGCACCACTGCACTGCTGCCTGGGCGACAGAGCAAGACTCCATCACACAAAAAAAGAAGTCTGCATCTTCTATTTATGGCCCATCGCACTTGCCTTCCTGAGCCACATCCTAAGTCCAGGAGCTACAACAATGAATGAACTCTGAAAGAAGAACCCGCCATATAATATTTTGATATCAAAGCCATACAAAATAGCCTGGAATCTACTGACTTCAAAATCAGGAAGCACTCGCCCTCGTTTCTACCTCAGCCCAGGAAACGATCCCCAGTACTACAGAGGCAACCCCTGGCAGCCCTACCCTGCCTCCCAGCACATGGGGGCAAAGACTTGGGCAGCTTTGGGAGAGGGGCCTTGCACTCTCCGGCCCTGCCAGCTCTGCCCCTGGACAACAGGTACGCACCCTGTCCACCACTGGGAGGGGAGCGCCAGCGGGAAGGCTGTCTGGCCCCAAGTCAGAGCTCTCCAACCCTTTCCCAGTAACTAAGCTAGTATCTCGATCCCTACCAGACCACTGCCTGATCTCACAACTTGGAAAGAAGCTGAAGGGTAGAAGGGCTGACATGCTGGCCCCTCAAGCCCGGACCACCTTGAATGACTGTCATCAAAGAAGACATTTTATGGAACGTTCTGACACAGAGAGACGGCCAGAAGGAATGGCAATGGGGAGGATCTTGGGAAAATGAGCACATTAAAATTGTTAAGAATGAGCATCTATATTTAACAAAAAGGCTTAAGATGCCAAGAAAGAATATGGGTAACAACCTCTCAGAGCCCGTGCATAACCACAACACAGGAGCACGCCAAGTCCAACTTCAGAGCATGAAGGACCAGCTGGAGGGCGGCTGCTCCACCCGAACAGGCTTCCAGATCACATGTGAACTTGGCTCCCTGGGAGTCAAGGACAGCGAGACAAACTTTCTGCTACACCTAGAAATGCTAGATGAAAATAAAGCAAAAATGCTTTTAGGCAGGGCACACTGGGCTTATGCCTGGAATTCTAGCACTTTGGGAGCCCGAGGCAGGAGGACCACTTGAGGCTAGGAGTTCAGGACCAGCCTGGGCAACACGGGGAGATCCCTATCAGTACACAATTTTTAAAATTAACAAATTAGCCTGGTGTGGTGGTGCCTACCTGCGAGAGCTACTCAGGAGACTGAGCTAGCTATGAGGATCATTTGAGCTGAAGAGGTCACGGCTGCGGTGAGCCATGACTGTGCCACTGCACTCTGGCCTGGGTGACAGAGTGAAACTCTATCTCAAAAGAAAAAAAAGATGAAACGAAACTTTTAAATGTGTAACTAAACTCACAAGAAAGGGATGTCCACAAGTAATAAAAACCAAGAAGGAACAGACAGAAAGCTAGCCCCGTGAGAGGGTGAGCAGGGCTACCCTGGGAGGGGAGGGTCTGATGTCCACACACACACAGAACGTGCACCTGGGGCCCATAGGAGTTAGGGAGTGGGATCTGAGACCCTCACTCAAAACCAGGACGCTGAAAACATGAGAAGATGGACTAGAAAAGCATTTGTCTCAATGGGATCTAACTGAACTGAAGAGCTTCTGCACAGCAGAAAAAACTAGCAGACAACCTGCGGAATGGGAGAACATTTCTGCAATCCAGCCACCTGACAAAGGGCTAATATCCAGATTCTACATGGAATAAACACGTTTACAAGAAACAACCAACCCCAATAAAAAGTGGGCAAAGGACATTTCAGACACTTCTCAAAAGAAGACATCCTGCTGGGCACAGTGGCTTACGCCTATAATCCCTGCACTTTGGGAGACGGACGCAGGCAGATCACTTGAGGTCCGGAGTTTGAGAGCAGCCTGGCCAACATGGGGAAACCATGTCTCTACTAAAAACACAAAAATTAGCTGGGCATGGTGGTATGTGCCTGTAGTCCCAGGTACTTGGGAGGCTGAGGCAGGAGAATCAACTGAACCTGGGAGGTGGAGGTGGCAGTGAGCCCGCGCCACTGCACTCCAGCCTGGGCGACAGAGCAAAATTCAACATCACTGATCATCAGAGAAATGCAAATCAAAACCACAATGAGATACCATCTCATGCCAGTCAGAATGGTGATTAAAAAGTCAGGAAGCAACAGATGCTGGTGAGGCTGTGGAGAAACAGGCACTCTTTTACACAGTTGGTGGGAATGCAAATTAGTTCAACCACTATGGAAGACAGTGTGGCATGTGGTGATTCCTCAGAGACATAGAAACAGAAATGCCACTTGACCCTGCAAGTCCATTACTGGGTATAAACCCACAGGAATAAAAATCATTCTATTATAAAGATTCATGCACACGTATGTTCACTGCAGCACTAGTCACAACAGCAAAGACATGGAATCAACCTAAGTGCCCATGGATAAGGAAAGAAACCAGACAGACAGGATCAAGAAAATGTGGGACACAGACACCATGGAACGCTATGCAGCCATAAAAAGGAACAAGAGCCATCCTCAGCAAACTAACAGAGGAACAGAAAACCAAACACCTCACGTATTCAGGTGGAGCTGAAAAATGAGAATGCAGGGAGGGGAACAGCACACAGTGGAGCCTGTCAGCGGTCGGGGAGGGAGGGGATCAGGGTGAATAGCTAATGCATCCTGGTCTTGATACCTAGGTGATGGGTTGACAGGTGCAGCAAACCACCATGGCACATGCTTACCTGTGTAACAAACCTGCACATCCTGTGTATCCCGGAACTTAAATTAAATTACATTTTAAAAGAAAGCGAGAAAACCATTTCTCCACGGACCCTGTGCAGGGAAGACCTGAGCTGGGAAGCCAGGGGTTACACTGCAGGGCATGGTGGGAAGGGGCCCCACTCAAAACCAGCAGAAACAAACTTGGAATCACCCCAGGTAAATGTCTACAGCCTGGCCACATGGAACTCCATGGAAAACACGAGCACCAAAGGTGGGGCCACAATGCAATGTCACACACCCAAAGGAAACAATCGAGGCCACACGTGAGATGAGGAGAGCACACAGATGGAAACACCTAGGGAGCAGATCTACCTAAGCACGTGGGACAGAACCTCAAAGGAGGAAGTAAACTCGCATCAAAGAACAGGAGAGTGAAGGAAGAACAGGGAGACTCGGTGACATCAATCACGAGGTGCCAGCGAGGAAGGACCACACCCACGGGCGCAGGGACCCTTCAGCCCTCTGCAGATGGCGCCACAGAAGCGGCTGGCCAGCTTGAGCTGCCCCTCGCTCACGGGCAACCCCATGGCAAATGAGCCTCTGGTCTCTGGGCAGGGCCTCCCCCGATAGAGAGGCTGCCGAATAGATGCAGCCTGTGGTCCACAGGAACTGTAAAATGGCAAGGTTTTCAAAAGGTGACAAATGTGGCGACGCAGAGGACACTGGACCGGGGCCGCCTGGATTCAAGCAAGGATAACACACAGGCATGCTGAGGAACTCGGGCCACAGACCCCAGGCTCGCCTCTTCCCAGGCCTGCCTATAAACGCCTTCCCCAGCTTCTCTCTCTCCTGCAACAAGAGCCAGCTCAGCCCAAGATCAGCCTCGCAGCCCCAGTCTCCTTTACATGGTGCGACATCAAGGGAAGACACAGCGACTCTGCCTGGTGACAGGTCTAGTAACACATACCCGAGCGTCAGCCCGAAACTCCCTTTTCCTCCGGATCTTCTTGAAGATTTCTGTGAGCTCATCTCTGGCCTCCTCGTCGGTGCTGCTGGCGCCTGCGGTGGCCTCGGAGGTGGCTGCTTCGGCTGCTGCGGCCCCCTCAGCCCCTGAGGGAGCTTGGCCTGGAAGAGGCATGTCTATGCTCGGGTCTTCTGCATGTTCGATGAGCCACTCCATGGCCTGAGGCACTGACATGCTGCAAGGCAAGAGACTCTTTCCAACACCCCCAGCCTAATGGACCTTCCCCTCCTGTCCACTCCCAGGAAGTGGATAGGACCTTCTTTGCCTCCTGCCCCGCCTGATTTCTTTCCAACACCCCCAGCCTAACGGAGCAGGCCCTTGCCTCCCGTCCACTCCCAGGAAGAGCCTCTGCAGCGGAGCAGGGCCTCTGCCTCCCGTCCGCTCCCAGGAAGCGCCTCTGCAGCCGAGCAGGGCCTCTGCCTCCCGTCTGCTCCCAGGAAGAGCCTCTGCCATGGAAGTGACTTCTTCAGCATCAGCTGCTGACCTTATAGTGAGAACCTGAACGAACACAGGTGCAGCTGAAGCTCGGGTCCTTGCCTGAAACTACCTTGAGACCCTGGGCAGAAACAGAAGCCCATTTCTAAGGAGAGGCAAGCGGACCCAGAGGTCTCTGCTGAGAGCTTAGGTATGGCTGCCCCACGCTTACAGATGACTCATTTTAGATCTGAACACAGAGGCAGGGCAGGTAACTCACTGTTAGAGGCTTCACCTGGAGTTCTCATACAACGGCCCAAAGAGAATTCACAGAACGACTGTTCTCTCACATGCACCCCAAAAATGCTTTGGAGGCACACATTTAAGGAATGTCTTCAAAACCCCATACATATTAGAAATGATTCGCCAAATAGAGTTTAAGGTGGGAGGACGTCACCCGCAGGGGGAGCCCCACAAGATCAGGCCCCATGTGTCTCCGGCAAGGGCAGGGGTGACTCCCACGCACTGGTTCAGTTGAAGGGCCTTGGTGGCTCTGGTCTCAGGAAAGCCCATCTCCGTGAGCTGCCGCAGGGCGGCCTCATCCACACGCTCATCCTCATCCTCGTCCAGCATCGCTGAGGGGAGATGACAGGGTCATGAGGGCTCCAGTCTTGGGCTCAGGGGCCTTATCTGAGCACAAACATTTTCAGCAATTATCTGAGGCCTCCCAGTACCTGAGCTCCACCTGCCCGCCCACCCTCAGGCATACAGACAGGACTGAGGCAGCCCCCAGGCCCTCATCAGCACGGAGGCTCCACAGGGCAAGAATGCAGCACCTGCTGTCACCAGGGTTGGCTCGTACCATTCGCCTTCTTAAACAATTCCACCGCATCCGGGTTCAGCGCTAACAGCTTCTGCGCCACGTCGATGAGGGACACCAGTATCTTCCGGAGTTCTGTCTGGAACTGTGGTGAAAAAAACATCAATTCTCTAACTGTGCAGCAAACCTGCTTGAATGTATTGGATGCATGACTTGCTCCCCTGCCCTGGAACTGATTCTGAGAGCAGAGATGACACTGCCTTCCTGCAAGACAGCAGGATCAGCTGAGGACAACGAGGGGAGTCAGCAGGGCCAAGAGCCTCCCCGAAGGTGGGAATGAAGCCAGCAGAAAGGGACAGGAACACCTGGTGATGGTCACTCAGCGCTGGCCTGATGCTCAGCCTGGGCCAGTGAGGAAACCACCGGCCCAGCTGGCACAGGTGCAGGGCAAGCTCAAGCCCCTTCTCGGCTTCACTGAAGAACACAGACTCATCTGAGGCTCCACAGCCACGAGTCTGCCAGCCCCCGGCGGAGAGCCACTGTCCTCCCCGCCGCAGAAGGAGTACTGGGACGGACCACAGACACCCTCCAGGACAGCTCCTGGCTATGGGGCCTAGAGGTCGGGGGCCAGCCATCCCTTCTCTTACACAAGCGTGAGCGTTGGTGTGGACACCACACTAGAGAAATACCTCTGAGCTGGACACACACAAGATGGGAGAAACACACGCCGGCCAGTGCCCTGGTCAGCATGGAACTCTCTGGAAGAGATCCCAAGAAGTTCACTCCTAAACAAACCAGTGCTCAGGACAGTGCCCTTAGGTTGGACTGGCATCAGATGATGTTAGAAGCCAGTAGTCCTCCCACCCTGGCACAGCTTGCGCCTGCCCTGCCTACTGGGGCGTCCATGTGAGCACTGCAAACACTTTTCTTTTTTTTTTTTTTTTTTTTTGAGACGGAGTTTCGCTCTTGTAACCCAGGCCGGAGTGCAATGGCGCAATCTCGGCTCACCGCAACCTCCGCCTCCTGGGTTCAGGCAATTCTCCTGCCTCAGCCTCCGGAGTAGCTGGGATTACAGGCACGCGCCACCATGCCCAGCTAATTTTCTGTATTTTTAGTAGAGACGGGGTTTCACCATGTTGACCAGGATGGTCTCGATCTGTTGACCTCGTGATCCACCCGCCTCGGCCTCCCAAAGTGCTGGGATTACAGGCTTGAGCCACCGCGCCCGGCCTACACTTTTTTAACTTAGAATGTTCTGATCCAAAATAACTCACGGGTTCAGATTTCTAAGAGTTTTGCCAAACTCAGGGCCGGACTGAGGTTTTCCCAGGGGCATCTATCTTTTTGGTCCTGCCTTCAGACGGCTTTCCAACTTCTTACTTAGAAATCACTTTTGGTTTACAGAAAACCTGCAAAGTAGTACAGTCCTGTAGAGCCCTCACCGGCTTCCCCAAAGACTGCTAGGGAATTGGCTCTTGCTGCCCTGCCCCGTGGGGACCCCATGCCGCTCTGGGCCGACACTCACATCTCTCATGTTGGTCTGGACCACCGCTCGGTCCATGTTGTGGGAGGGCAGGTTGGCAGTGGCCCGGAAGATGGCATCTTTATCTGGAGCTTTCTGGTCTTGTTTTTTCTACATCAAAAAGTAACCGGAAAGTCAGAGATAAATGTAAAAGCAGAAAAGGCAAGACGATGAAGACTGAGTCAGCAGAGTTCTGCCCAGGAAAGACTCCGTCTCCTTTAGGAGCAGAGATGTAAACTCCTTGATGAGCTGGGGGAGCCCAGAGAGTTCTGGGCAAGGCCCCGGGAGAGCAGGCGAGCTGCGATGCCAAGGACGCAACTGCTCTGTGGTAAATGAAAGTGAAGCGGTGGGTGAGGGGCAGAGCGGGAGCAAAGGCCGAAGAACAACCGTCACACGGGGCTGCAGCGAGGGAGGCAACTCCAGAGAACCACCAGGCCTGCAACTGAGTGTTGAGGCCAAAACCGTGAACTCATCTCTGCTCCTTCTGGAAGCTCCTGATGCACAGTAATGGCGACAGAAACTCACAAGAACAAAAACGATGGGAGAGGAACAGAGCTGGCAGAGTGACAGCACGTTTTCACAAGATGGCCAAGGACGGAGGGACCAGCAGAGCTGCAAAGGCTCAGGTCAAGAGCAAGGCATGGACACAAGACGGTTCCAGCCTCCTAGAACTGCATTGGTGGCAAGGGACAGGAAGCGAGCCTCAGGAGCTAGTGCTCCATTCCCTGCCACCCAGCCCTGCCGGCAACTCCCAGAGAGCTGGGCTTGAGACCCCAAGCCAAGAGCCCTAGGCTCATGAGAGGGAAAGTGGCACCCTCAGCACCATCGACAACAGCCAGGGCATGGGACAGGGACAGGGAGGCCCAGCAGCATGGGTGAGGGGCAGGGAGAACAGCAGCAGGGGTGAGGGGCTTGGACAGGGAGGCCCAGCAGCATGGGTAAGGGACAGGGAGACCAGCAGCATGGGTGAGGGACAGGGAGGCCCAGCAGCATGGGTGAGGGACAGGGAGACCAGCAGCATGGGTGAGGGACAGGGAGACCAGCAGCATGGGTGAGGGACAGGGAGACCAGCAGCATGGGTGAGGGACAGGGAGACCAGCAGCATGGGTGAGGGACAGGGAGACCAGCAGCATGGGTGAGGGACAGGGAGACCAGCAGCATGGGTGAGGGACAGGGAGACCAGCAGCATGGGTGAGGGACAGGGAGACCAGCAGCATGGGTGAGGGACAGGGAGGCCCAGCAGCATGGGTGAGGGACAGGGAGACCAGCAGCATGGGTGAGGGACAGGGAGACCAGCAGCATGGGTGAGGGGCAGGGAGACCAGCAGCATGGGTGAGGGACAGGGAGACCAGCAGCATGGGTGAGGGGCAGGGAAACCAGTAGCATAGGTGAAGGACAGGGAGACCAGCAGCAGGGGTGAGGGACAGGGAGACCAGCAGCAGGGGTGAGGGGCAGGGACAGGGAGGCCCAGCAGCAGGGGTGAGGGACAGGTAGACCAGCAGCAGGGGTGAGGGACAGGGAGACCAGCAGCAGGGGTGAGGGGCAGGGACAGGGAGGCCCAGCAGCAGGGGTGAAGGACAGAGAGACCAGCAGCAAGGGTGAGGGACAGGGAGACCAGCAGCAGGGGTGAGGGACAGGGAGACCAGCAGCAGGGGTTAGGGGCAGGGAAACCAGTAGCATAGGTGAAGGACAGGGAGACCAGCAGCAGGGGTGAGGGGCAGGGACAGGGAGGCCCAGCAGCAGGGGTGAGGGACAGGGAGACCAGCAGCAGGGGTGAAGGACAGGGAGACCAACAGCAGAGGTGAGGGGCAGGGACAGGGAGGCCCAGCAGCAGGGGTGAGGGACAGGGAGACCAGCAGCAGGGGTGAGGGGCAGGGACAGGGAGGCCCAGCAGCAGGGGCACAGGGCAGACACAGTCATGAGGTGGGAGGGGGCAAAATGGCAGGATCTGCACCCCCAGGGCAGCGCCCAGTTCCAGAGCGCCGCTAACAAGACCCAGTTCCTCTGGAAGGTGGCATTCAGCCATGGACAGTCAGCCAGATGTTTAATGAAAGCTTCCAGCATGAAAGACAAAAGCCCAAATAAGAACAGGAACAGGCTGGGCACAATGGCACACGCCTGTAATCCCAGCACTTTGGGAGGCCAAGGTGGCTGAATCACTTGAGGTCAAGAGTTCCAGACCAGCCTGGCCAACATGGTGAAACCATATCTCTACTAAAAATATAAAATAAGCCAGGTGTGGCAATGCACACCTGTAATCCCTTAAAAGGGATGGGTCTCTTTCTGGAGAGAGAGATTCAGCAGTTAAGAAATCCTGTTGCTGGCTCTGAAGAAGGAGGAGGCTATGTGGGAAGGAATGCGGGCTGCGCCCAGGTACTGAGAGGAGCCCCACGATGGCCACCAGTTACCTGGGAGGCTGAGGCAGGAGAATCGCTTGAACCTGGGAGGCGGAGGTTGTAGTGAGCTGAGATGGCGCCACTGCCTGCACTAAAGCCTGGGTGAGTGACAGAGTGCCCTGCACCCCTGCTGCTGGGTTTCCCTGTTCCTGCCCCCATGCCCCTGCTGCTGTCGATGGTGCTGGGGGTGCCACTCTCAAACAAACAAACAAAAATCAGGAACAAAAAGGAGCACAAAGGGAGGAGCCAGCAGGGAAGAGGACAGTGTCTATGAGCCAGGACACATGGCCGCAGGCAACGAGGAACACACCTGAACGCTAGAAGACATGATCCGAGGAGAAGCTGCTGAGAAATTTAAATACGTTACAGCCAGGTCAAAAAGGCTACAGAATGCTTGGAAGATAAAGTCAAGGAATCCCTCAGAAGCAGGCCCACCAGCCAACCCATAAGAGTTACAGAAAGAGAAAAGAAAACGAGGAGATGAAAAAATCAATTCAGAACTTTTCCAGAACAAAATTTGCCAGAACTCAGACATCTGAATCTCCAGTCAACGTGCCGGGCACAGCGAAGAGAAAAAGACCTGCAGCAGGACACCATAGACTATTCCAGAACACTAAAGCATGGCACAAGCTTTACAGCTGGCACAAGGTTCCAGAAGGAGCAGAGAAAGGGAGGCGGCTGGCGTAGGGAGGAGCGGCTCAGAGAGCCTCAAGTACTGCACATGCCTGGCACTGCCTCCACAGCTCCTGCACTGGAATGCAAGGCCTCCAGCTGGTTCTCCTGGGCACTAGAGGGAGTCAGGCTCCACCACACCAAGGGACAGGTCGAGAACAAGACACCTGGTCCTATGGCAGGCCCGGCACTCACCCGTACATGACCACAAAGCGTGAGCAGGACACGGTCCACCATGGGATCAGGTTATGTCACACAGCACAGTCGACTTTGGGGAAAGAGCATGATGCTTAGTGGGCCTCACCTAATCAGGCAGGCCCTTAAAAGGGATGGGTCTCTTTCTGGAAAGAAATTCAACACTTAAGAAATCCTGTTGCTGGCTCTGAAGGAGGAGGAGGCCATGTGGGAAGGAATGCGGGCTGCACCCAGGCCCTGAGAAGAAAATGGGTTGGAACTGGACTCTCCCGACCGCCAGAAAACCTCAGAAGCAGACTCTTTCCCAGAGTCTCGGAAAGGAACGCAGCCCTTCAACACCCTAAGCACAGAAACCAGCTGAGCTCACCCCGCAGACTTCTGCCCTACAGAACCACCGGCTACAAAACAAGTGCTGCTTTTGTGTTGTTGTTGTTGTTGTTTTTTGAGATGGGGCCTCGCTCTGTATCCCAGGCTGGGACGCCGTGGTGCCGTCTTGGCTCACTGCATCCTCTGCCTCCCAGGTCACGGTTCAAGCAATTCTCCTACCTCAGACTCATAAGTAGCTGGGATTACAGGCATGAGCCACCACGCCCAGCTAATTTTTGTATTTTTTTAGTGGAGATGGGGTTTCACCATGTTGGCCAGTCTGGTCTTTGACTCCTGACCACATGATCCGCCCGCCTCAGCCTCCCAAACTGCTGGGATTACAAAAGTGAGCCACCGTGCCCAGCCAACAAGTGCTGTTTTAAGGAGATAGGTTTCTGGCGATTTGTTAGATGGCAACAGAAAACTTATATAGACTCAGCAAATTCTAACCTAGGAGAGAGGCAGGAAAGCCAGGCTGCCTGAAAGGCAGCGACTCAGACAGATTGTGGGAGGGACAGCGCCCCAAGAAAGGGAGCGTCCCGGCAACCTCACATCTGTGACCATGTTTCCAGAAGCTTTATCAGCTCTGTGGAAGAGCATGAAAAAATCAGCAATAAGCCTATGAGAAATTCAACAAGCAAGAGAAAAGATGAGGCAAGTATGAATTCCAGGACAAACAGAGCTGTGTAAGCTGGATGGATAATCTCAACATGTTTTGCTCACAGCTGAAAGCTACACTTCAGTTATAATAGTAACGAAAACCCTGAGCTCTTCAACCAAAATTCCCATCTAACCTTCAAGGGAGGAGGGAGGTAGGCACTGTATCCTCTCCATTAAGACGTCAATAGAGACTAAAGTTGATTCAAGGAATGACAATATACACATACTATTTACAAATCAGGAAGAGAATTGGTTTTGTTGTTGTTGTTTTGATATGGAGTCTTGCTCTGTCGCCAGGCTGGAGTGCAGTGGGCGATCTCAGCTTACTGCAACCTCTGCCTCCCAGGTTCAAGTGATTCCCCACCTCAGCCTCCCAAGTAGCTGCAACTACAAGGCATGCACCACCATGCCCTGCTCGCTAATTTTTTGTAGTTTAGTAGAGACAGGGTTTCGCCATGTTGGCCAGGATGGTCTCGATCTCCTGACCTCATGATCTGCCTGCCTCAGCCTCCCAAGGTGCTGGGATTACAGGCGTGAGCTACGGTGTCCAGCTGAGAACCGTTAAAGATAACAAGAGTTATGATTGGTTGGGCCAGGCATGCTGGCTCATGCCTGCAATCCCAACACTTTGGGATGCCAAGGTGAGCAGATCATCTGAGCCCAGGAGTTCAAGACCAGCCTGGGCAACATGGCAAGACCCCACGTCTAGAATAAATACAAAAATTAGTCAGGCATGGTGGTGCACACTTATAGTGTCAGCTATTCTACTCCTGGGGCTGAGGCAGAAGGATGGCTTAAGCCGGGAGGCAGAGGCTAAAGTGAGGTGAGATCACACTGCTGCACTCCAGTCTGGTTTGCACTGCCTGGCTTTGCCACCATGCCCAGCTAATTTTTTATATTTTATATTTTTTGTAGAGACAGGGTTTCATCATGCTTCCCAGGCTGGTCTCAAATTCCTGGGCTCAACATGATCCTCCCACCTCAGCCTCCCAAAGTGATGGGACTACAGGCGTGGGCCACCTTTTTATTGAAAGATTTATTAAAAGATTATTTGATCTTTTAAAGACATGTAACTCTGACTTAAAAATTAATTCATAAATACAAAAATGAGCTGGGTGTGGTGGCACACACCTGTGGTCCCAGCTACTCGGGAGGCTAAGGTAGGACTGCTTGGACCAGGAGGTCAAGGCTGCAATGAGTCGTGACTGCACCACTGCACTGTAGCCTGGGCAACAGAGTGAGATCCTGTCGCTAAAACAAAAACAAAATTAAAAATTAATTCAAAAAATATGAATTAACCTCTTATAATGTTTCAGCCTGCAAATATTTGAAAAGGTAAGCTCCTCAAGTTAGCTCCAAGCTACCCATTCAGGAGGCTGCAGGGCAACAGCTGGATGGTCAGACCTGCCGTTTATGAGTTACGAGCCTGGAGTCTGAACACCAACCGTCAAACTGTAATCTGAGAACTGTGAATGCTGCCTGCGGCAGTTCCCAGAAACAGGCCTGACTCGGGACAGCAGGCGGAGGCAGCCCAGATCTGTCCATGCAGATGGGTGGAGCGGCAGCTTGTGTGTCACTCACATGTGCCAGGTGTGGCTGAAGATAAGGTGGGGACCCAAGCCCGGGGCACTCTTCCTGGGGACCCATGGCCCAGATGAAACCCGAAAATAGCTTATGCACTACCAGGTTGGGCCCTGCCCAGAAGAGTTTGGCCCACTCTTTCACTGGGGTGAACACTCTCCTTAGCCTCTCAAAGCACGAATAAGAAACTCTACCCTTGGGATGAGTAATGAAAAGGCAGCAGAGGAAAGCGGCTGCCCTTCTAAATGGCAGGCTCCATGCTCGGCATGGGCTCGGCACCTGCCGGTGAATAGAAGACGCCACTTACAGGACACGTCTTCCTCTGCTCAGGGAGCTTTCCAAAGCATGGGCTTCTGGGCAGGCAGCAAGCAACACGCTTCACGGTTTCCTAAAGCACATGCGATACGTGGAAGGCACAGACTGTGAATCAGTAATGTGGGAGTTAATGTAAACTCCAAGGACATCCAGTTGTTTTGCAAGAAACAGAGAAGACAGGCAAAACTCAGCATCTCTTAGTATTATGAGTACAGGCTGAGTATCCCCCATCTGAAATGCTGGGGACCCGAACTATTTCAGAATTCGGGTTTTTTCAGATTTGGGAATATTTGCATTCCAAATAATAAACCCAAAAGCACACACAAGCATTTCCATTGAGTGTCATTTCGGTACTCAAAAAGTTCCAGACTGTGGTGCATTTCCGCATTTGGGTTTTCGGATGGGGATGCTGAGCCTGTGTGGTGCAGGCAAAGCTTGTGAGAGCGCTCCCTTGCCCGCCGCTCTCTGCACGCGCAGCCCTTATTCTGTATGGTGGTTGGTTACCAACTTTCCTAGTTCTTCTGTCAGGATTGATTGGGCTGCTTCAGGAGGGACAGGAGCACACACAGGTGAAGGCGGACGGCAGCAAGGGAAAGAACTGTCATGCAGGACATGCCCCCACTCTCCTCTCTGTCTCAGAAAACTCAGAGGCAGGTTTTCTGTGCTGGTCCCATGAGCAGGGACAAGGACTGACGTGGATTAAACAGGCTCTGCCAGGAGTGAAAACCCCAATATCCACATCTACTGTAAATGGCGAATGTGTGGGCTGGTGAACAACGAGCATAGAGAACTTCTTTATAATTCTTAAACATAGACTTCTACCAATCAAGCTCCCCTTTTGCAAACTTTGAAATTTACCTTTTCTTCTGCTGTGACATCAGCCATCTTGGGAAGTGGTGCTGGAGCACGCTTTTTTATCAATAATAGGACATCTAGAAAAAATAACATGCATATCCATCACACTGGTTACTGTTTCATAGCCACAGAATAGCATAAAGGGTGCTGGATGCCCTGAGAACAGAAAGCACGTGTTTCGGCCAGGCGCAGCGGCTCCTGCCTGTAATCCCCACACTTTAGGAGGCCGAGGTGGGCAAATCATCTGAGGTCATGAGTTCAAGACCAGCCTGGCCAACATGGTGAAACCCCGTCTAAAATACTAAAATCAATTGGGCATGGTGGCGCACACCTGTAAGCCCAGCTACTCAGGAGGCAGAGGCAGGAGAATCACTTGAACCTGGGTGGCAGACGTTACAGTGAGCTGGGATTGCACCACTGCACTCCAGCCTGGGCAACAGAGCAAGACTTTGTCTTAAAAAAAAAAAAAAAAGAAGAGCAGCAGGAGTTCAGCTGGGTATAGTGGCTCACTCCTGCAACCCCAGCACTCTGAGGGGATGAGATAGGCAAATCACTTGAGCCCAGGAGTTCAAGGCCAGCCTGAACAACATGGTAAGACCCCGTCTCTATGAAAGTACACAAAATAGTTGCACATGGTGGCACGTGCCTGTCGTCCCACCTACTTGGGAGACTGAGGTGGGAGGACTGCTTGAGCCCACGTCAAGGCAGCAGTAAGCCTGACTATGCCTCTGCACTCCAGCCTGGGCAACAGAGTGAGACCCTGTCTCAAAAGAGCAGGGATTCCTCTGGGCCCCCCAAACCAAGCATCTACACCAGCCTTCCCTCACTTTTTCATGGTGTTGGCATGGCCCTGACTGAGGTACAAGCTCCCAGGCCTGGCAAGAACCCCAGGTGACCCGTAGTCCGGAAGGTGTGCACGGCCCCAGTAATAGCGCAAAGAATTGGCCACGGTCCTACAAAGGGCTCTCATTTTAACCGCCTCAGTTCTGAAAAAGTCCGTGAGGCTGGAGAGTTTGTCTTAACCCTCATGAGTCAAAACCTGAGACGAGGCTCATCCTCAGCCCACGGTGGTGGCCGTCCCATACTGGCTTTGAGCTTGATGGTCATCTCAGTGGATATCTGTTAGCAATACCTTCAGGATTTTCAAAATAGCTTACTTCAAGAAATTCCATAATTAAAGGCATTATTTGAATGACACAGACAAAACTGAGGTTTGCTCTTCGAGTGCCTGCAGACACAAAACCGTAAGTGATTACACGGAGGTGTGCATCTAACACCGCACACTGCACTAAGATGCCTGCGACCATCACCACAGCAGCCACGTCCAATTCAAGAGTAACACCTGCAGAGCCCCTGGAGTCTCCAGACTCCGGCTTTGCTTTGAAACAGAACCAAAAACAAAATTCACATTTGGCTTCTCAAATGTCTGCTGCTTGTTCAATTTCAATTTCTGCTGCTTTTCACAAACAGTCAATAACAGAACTCTTTGATAAAGGAAGAACAGAAAGCTTTCAGTAGCTCTTGTTTTGTGCTCCTGTCCGGCTCAGAATACTGACTCCCATGGGTGCAGTGCCCCCTCCCCGCTCTGGTCCCCACACCAGGGCCTGGCGCCTGACGCCACACCCACCCACCCACTGCAGCCTTACCTTGGTCCTGGATGTTCTCCTCCAGGATGGTCCTGGCATCACTCAGCACCCTCTCTGAGGCAGCGTGGATTAATTTATGATGGGTTACACTTTTGGGATCTTCTAAGCTCCCATGTGCACACTGGGGAAAAATAGACATTTCAAGATAGAAAATAAGTAAATCGGAAATCTGATAACAAAAGACCTGGCATCCTAAGCCACACCAGGAATTTACTGGGTTTTCTTAAGAGCTAAGAAATTACAGCGTGGATGAAATTCAAGAATTCCCGATAACGGCAGATTGCCAAATGAAGCATCATGGCACCAGATCCCCTGGGCCAGCGGGCTGATCCCCAGCCCATGGAGTACTCCTGAAGCAAGCTCACAGCTCAACACACCACACCCTACTGACAATTCGTGGCCACCAGAATCGCTTCTTTCTTCCACAGACACATGAAAGGGGCCAGAAAGGCAGCCCAGAAAGAAGGCTGGTTCACAGAGAGTACGAAATCAGGGTAAGAGGAGCGCTCAGCATGGCTGCTCTCAGCATGCTCCGGCTCACTAAGCAACAGCCATGCTGTGGCCTGGGCAGCTGGAGGGGACTGATGGGCACACAGTCACCTGGGCCCTGGAAACCCTGCAACAGCCAGGCAGCAGTGAGGAGACCCCCCTCCTCACACACCACAGCCATCTCTGACCAGCACTCATGGGTGACCTGGGAAGACAACTTGACAGCCACTGACTCTAAACTCCAGGAGGAAGCTGGAACGGACGGCCATGATCCCTCCAGCCCTGCCATTACGAAGACCTCACAGCTGCTGGCAGGGGTGGCCCTGCTCCTCCCCTCAGCTACATGGCACTGCATTGCAGGTGTTCTGCTTTCCTTGGGACATGGGTTACACATGTCTGCTCACCATTTTGTGAAGACCAGGCAAGCACTGCTTGGTCCCGTGTAATGAAGACCAAGGTCAGCACGTGTGCCTGCGTGTTTGTGCCCAAGTCAGTCCAGAGCTCCACAACTCCACCCTATTGTCTGCCTCAGCACCACACGGCCCGACACAGCACGGCCTGACACGGCACACCACACCACGCCACACCACACCACGCCACACCACACCACACCAGACAACAGTGCCCACCCTCGCAACTATGGCGCCTCCCCAGCAGCCGGAATCCTGGAGTGGGAGGAGTGGGGCTGCACTTTTATGTTTCAGAAAATACCCAGTTTCCATAGCCTGGCCTGAAAACCCTTCAGAACTCAGAGCCTGAGCAGAGGGAAGGCTATTTTCTTGCTCTTACAGATCCCTGAGGCTAGATGCTAGAATTCCCTGAAGATCAGGAAAGGATGAAACCCTCACTGGGCACTTTCTAAACCTGGCAGCAGGCTCAGCCCATGGGTCAGGAGCGTGGCCCAGCCTGGAGAGGGGCCGGGGCACCATCCCAGGACAGGCCGTCCTCGGACGTCTCAGGTGGCCAGGCAGATCTGCTGGCAGCTGGCTTTCCACCTCCCTCTGCTGCCACAGGGGCTCAGAAACACCCAGCACACACAACACAATTGCTTGCCGGAAAAGAAAATCTAAGCGCACACGTCACCTCTCAACACAGGCATTTTAGGAGTAACTGAATTTTCTGTTACTCTCAAGACAGAAAACAGTTTTGCAAAAGGGATTATGGCATCATTCAGAGGCTATCATCCCTTCACACAAAGCTGGCAAGGCCAAGGGGACATGAGGGTGACCAGCTACTGGCAAGACCGCTCCTGCCATTTACAACAGGGCGGACAATCCCTCAACTGCCTCTGAGTTTGACAATGGTCCTGCTCCCTGACATACTGGGGTGCTCGCTGGATCATCTGTCCAGTTCAGAATACAGACTACAGAATGCAATTTTCCAAAATCACTCTCATACTGATTTCTGAAAATACGGTATGCTACGTGCCCCCAGCAGCAATACGACTAAGTCACTCTGTTTCTTTGTTCTTGGCAGAAGCTGGGGTACAGCGGCAAAAGAACCCCAACGCAGGCTGCTAGGGCAGGAGGCTCCCACACCCCACCCCACTACATCCCGCTCCTTCCCGGAAGAACGGTGCCTTCATTTCTGCTTGTACCTAACACAATCTGTCATTTGAAGACCCGTCTGCATGTGATCTAGGAAAGCAAAAATTTAACAGCCATACTAGCAAGTATTGTATTCTATTTTGGCAATTTCATGAAAAAAATTTTTTGTTTTTTGAGACAGAGTCTTACTATCACCCAGGCTGGAGTGCAATGGTGCAATCTCCGCTCATTGCAACCTCCCCTTCGCAGGTTCAAGTGATTCTCGTGCCTCAGCCTCCCAAGTAGCTGGGATTACAGGAGCCCGCCAGCACACCCAGCTAATTTTTGCATTTTTAGTAGAGACGGGGGTTTCACCATCTTGGCCAGGCTGGAATTTCACGAATGTTTATGACACACACCGAAACCTCTACTGCACCACAGGTTTAATTTTCTTACTCATTAGCCACCTGTTGTACAAGATGGGTTATCCTGCCCCCCTTCTCCACGCAAGGGCAATGGAAGCTAGAGTCCATCACAGTGATCCCGATTTGCACTAAACAGTACAGGGAAAGGTGACAGCAAGAGTTGTGATCATAAACCCTCCTTTCAGCAGGCACAGTCAGGAGCACAGAGGCGGGAGCCGACGCCATTCCCCTCCAGGTAGAGAGGAGAGAGGAGGGACAAAATCATGCGGGCATCGGCACGAACTGAGGAGGAATGCAGCTAAGACAGACACCAGGCCTCCCTGCCTGCAGCAGGATGACATCCAGGGACCGGCTTCCAGAGAGACATTCAAAGACACAACTTGAGGATCCTCTTTTCTGACTAATGCATTCCGGCCCCACCTGCAGTGCATGCTGGGATGTGGTGGTGGGGAGCCTTTCTGATGCTCAGCTCTGGAGTCCTGTCATTTATGTTGGCTCCTGTGGTGTGAAAACCCTCCACGCCTGTGGACACCGCAGAGTGGAATACAATCTCAACTTAAAGTAGGATCATGACGAAAAACCCCAAATGGTACATCTCAACACCAAATGCAGTAACAAGTACCAGGAACAGAACAGTTAGCGTCATAACGGAACTGGCTGCCTCACTGGCCCCAAGTGCTCCTGAATTCATGAGTATCTGTGGATCAAACAGTTGTCATTTCCCATTCCCTTTCATAAAAGAATGTCATGATGGCCATGTACATCGTACCCTGAGTGAGTCAGATGAATGCTGCACCAACGCAGGTGACATCCCACGTCCACGCAGTGGACATTTTTGTGTATTCCACTAACCCACAGTTTGTTTTGGGGCTACTCTGAGCCTGGTCCTGGACTTGGGGATATCAACCAAGCCCCCAAGGAGCTTCTGGACTGGCTCAGGGAGGACACAGCACCTTGGAGAAGATTTTTAAAAACACATGCGCTAGACAAGCAACAACGCCTGGTCCAACCGCCTGGATGCCCATGGAGGTCCCGGCGCTTGAGCTTAGTGCTGTCCCAAAGGAAAACCACACAGACTGGGCCGGAAGAAAAACAAGAAAGCAGCCAAAACATACCTGCCCTTGAGCGTGGGAGGCGCGGCCGCTCCTTGGTGTGAACCCTGAGGCCAACACCTCTCAGTTGCTCACAGCCACTGTTCCAGAAGGGGGCTTGCCAAGCCTGCCTCCAACAGTTCCAGAACCCCACAGAGCCACGCTCACCAAAGCAACGCGAAAGTCCTCCATGTGAGCGGTTGCCATGGTAAGAAGTGAAGCTTATCCTGAGAGGCCACAGTTAGCTAACGTCTAACGCAGCCAATCTGTCAACGCATAGATATGTAACTTATCGCACGGAGCCAGCACTAGAAACCTGCCCCCTCCTTCAACCTAAATTCTGCCAACCCTCAGATCATGTCAAATAGAGACAGGAGGCCAGTCTGACACACGGACAGGCTTCTTAGCTGACCTCAGTCCTTTAGAGACTTGAGAACTAGTTCCCAAAATCAGCAACGTAAGGAACTAAATACACAGGATAGTTCAGCTGAATAAACTCTAAGAAGTGTCTCAGTGAGGAGACCCTTTTCCTGGACCTTCCCTCTTGACCAATTTTACCTCTGCAGAAAAGCAGGGCGCAGAGCCTTGTCCCGCAGCGGCACTATTTCAGTGACTCCAGCTAAGAGGCACAGTGGCCGCAGCCAAGGCCGGCTGCGCCAGCCAGGAAAAGCGCTCCAAGCAGCCGGCTCTGCGGGAAAGGGGAAGAGGAGAGGAGAAGGGGCCTCTTAATGAAGGGGCCTGCGTTATTTCTCAGCTCTCAGAGGAGCTGCTGAAAAAAAACTCACACCCAACAGCAAAAAGGCACAACGGCTGGAAAATCCTGAAGCCCTGCTCCCGTCGGCGACTTCACTCTCCAGGCCTCAGTTTCCCAATCTGTCCCTACCTCCCTGCAGAGCTACAGAGTTAACTGAGAGGCTGGCGTGCAGAGGGCTCGGCCGGGCGGCTGGCACCGGGCCAGTGCTTAGTGACTGGTGCCCGCCGGCCGGCCAGGCCCGGGGACGAGCGTCCAGAGGTGTGGGATCCGGAAGAGGGAGAGCTGGGCAAACGGGCAGGAGGCGATGCCTCCACACCCGGGGAAGAGGGCCTGGGAGCTGCGGACTGGGCGTCGGACCCCGGGTCGGGGACTGGGGTGGGGTCCGCAGTCTGAGGGGTCCGGAGCGAGTGCTGGCGGCGGGGGAGGGCCCCGGCCGGGCGCGGCCTTACGTGCTTCAGGCAGCGCTCCTTAAGCTTCTCCACCGAGGTGTCCTCGGTGGCCTCCTCCTGCCACTCGGCGCCGTCGGCCGCGCAGATGTGCAGCCGCAGCACCTTGCCCGCGAAGATCTTCTCCTCCTGCACGAACATCGCGCCGCCACCGCAGGGGCCTGCGGCCGCCGCCCGAGCCCCTGAAGGTCACCGGGTGGGCGGGCGGGGCGGGGGCGGGGCCAGGCCGCCCGCGCGCTCCTTGGCTGGGCCGCCGCCGCCCCGCCCCGGCTCCCGTCGGCCGGGACGCAGTCACTCGCCTCGGTCCCAGCGGTCGCCTCGCTCCAGCCGCCGCAGCCGCCGGGGGCGCGCTGTCGCCGCCGACGCCGCACCGGATGTGCGTCACGGGCGCGTGCCTGGCGCATGCCGGGAGATGTGGTTCTCTGGCAGGCGCCTCTCTCCCTCCCCTGGGGGCGCGCTGTGGCCACCGCAAAGGAAGTGCGTCACGGGGCGCGCCCGGAACATGCCGGGAGTTGTAGTTCTCTGGCCGCTTGGTTCCTCCCGCACCTGCAGGAGCTTCCCACCTGGAACACTAACCACGTGGGACCGCATGGACTCTAAAGGTAAAATACACCCTAGATCCCAAAGAAGTAAAGGTAAAAAAGAATGTAAGATATCTCGGTAATTTTTTCATATTGATTACATGTCGAAATAATATTTTGGATCTATTAAGTAAAAAAAGTCATTAAAATTAATTTCACCTGTTTCTTTTAACCTATTTAAGACAGAAAGTTTTAAATTGCCTACATGGCTGCTGTGATGTTTCTTTTGGACTCCACTGCTGTAGAACGGAGGCTTCCAAAGAACTTGGCTTTAACAAGTCTAGGTCTCTCTGATACACATGCAGGTCAGAGAGCCACTGTTCCCGCGAAGCCTAGGTTTTTGGAGCACCCAGAGGGGAGGGAAGCCGCTCTGTAGTGCAGGTGATGCCAGGAGGGCTCATTTTCTGTGGAGTGTGACAAAGAATCTTCGCTTGGCGAAACTTAGGCAGAACCTTCTAGACCATCTGCGCACTTGCTTGTAAAATCCAGTTTTAGCAAAGACCCTTGATAAGTGAGTTTAGCAAGAACCTCGATGTCTGATCAGGTTCCTCGTCCTCCACCATCTCCCGGGTGATCACTCCAGAGTCTGATCACTCCAGCCTCTCAGCAAGAACCCTGTCAGGTCGGTTTAGCCAGCACCACCCTCATCCCTGCTGTTTTCTCCTATTAATCTTCCATTCACTGACCCCACACTGCTCCTTGGCTATACATTTCCACTTGCCCTTGTGGTATTCAGAGTTGAGCCTGATCTCTGCCCCCCCTGCAACCCCCCATGGCAATGATCTCAGTACCTGTCTCAACAGTCCCGAATAGCATATCTTTCTTACCCTGTTTCTAAATATGTATTTTTCAGTTCAGGTTAGACGACGAGCATTGACTGATCTGTACTCATTCACCCCATTCATTTATAAAACCTTTACTTCGCAGAGACGAATAAGGCACGTTTCCCGTTCTCAGAGGTCAACAGTCTAACTGCGGAGGCATCTCTGACTCTTGACTGCAGGCTTCTATGCTCTCCACACCATTCTGCACACATGTCCTCACTTTTCTCCTGTGATAATTTCAGCCTTGTCCAGATTCCATGTGTCCAGCTCAGCACTTACTAATTGCCTGCCATGAGTGGGAGCCTCTGCTACTCAGTGAAAATATGGTAGTGATTAAGATCAGAGACCAGGATACAGTCCTGGAATGGGGCATTTTTAACACAGGGAGCAGAGACCCTGGTGGAGGTGGTGGTAGTATCATGGAAGCTGGTGGTGGGTGGGGAGAAACACCAAGGTGGAGAGAGGTGAGTAGGGGAAGCCAGAGGGCTTGGGGAGCCAGGTCAGAGCATTCGAACTTTGCTGTGAGAGCCACAGAAGGGGTGACCAGGTGGCAGAATGAATGGTGGTGATTGTGGAGGGGACAGGGAAGAGGGCAGGGTGTCCTTCCAGGGGAGTGATGGGGAACAAGGGGAAGAGGACAAGGGGCTTCCAATGGCCTGTGGGAGGGGAGGCCAGCAGAATTGGAGGGTGTGGACACAAGAGTGAAATCAAGGATGACTTAAAGACTTCCAGCATGGGTGGCAGAGGGCAGAGCAATGCCACCCTTTGAAGTAGGAGGCAGGAGGAGGAGGAGCCACTGACCAGGAAGGTGTTGAGAAGCTTTGGACTCAGGGATGGATGTGGCAGGGGCATTCATGCGGAAGAGGCATTCATGTGGAGGTGGCATGCTGGACCTACAGGACTGAAGTTCAGGAGAGAGGCCTGGGTTAGAGACAAAGACGGGGCAGTCAGCCTGGCCCACATAGCAAGACCCTCTACAAAAAGTAAAAAATAAATTAGCTGGGTGTGGTAGTACACACCTGTGGTCCCAGCTACTCAGAAGGTCAAGGTGGGAGGATCACCTGAGCCCGGGAGGTCCAGGCTGCAGTGAGCCATGATGGCACCACTGCACTCCTGCCTGGGCAGCAGAACAAGACCCTGTCTCAAAACAAGCAAACAAACACAAAAAGACTAGCCAGTCATGAGCACATCGGTGGCAGCTGGAACTAAGGGGCTGCCCAACCCCCTTCACATGCAGAGGAGCCCATGAAGAAAACAGAAAAATATGGCACTAGGATAGTTCCAAAGTGTGGCTGTCAAACCCAAGCAGGGTAAGATATCGAGGAGAAAATAAGGCCCATGGAAGAAGACCCAGAACTATCGTGTCATCTCAGTGAGCGTCTCCAGGGACCGGAAAGGGGCTAGGGTTCAAGCCTGCTGGCTGAGGATCTGGTTTCTGCCTGGCTGAGGATCTGGTATCTGCCTGGCTGCAGATCTGGTTTCTGCCTGGCTGAGGAACTGGTTTCTGCCTGGCTGAGGATCTGGTGCCTGCCTGGCTGAGGATCTGGTATCTGCCTGGCTGAGGATCTGGTTTCTGCCTGGCTGAGGATCTGGTATCTGCCTGGCTGAGGATCTGGTGCCTGCCTGGCTGAGGATCTGGTGCCTGCCTGGCTGAGGATCTGGTATCTGCCTGGCTGCGGATCTGGTATCTGCCTGGCTGAGGATCTGGTATCTGCCTGGCTGCAGATCTGGTTTCTGCCTGGCTGAGGATCTGGTGCCTGCCTGGCTGAGGATCTGGTGCCTGCCTGGCTGAGGATCTGGTGCCTGCCTGGCTGAGGATCTGGTATCTGCCTGGCTGCAGATCTGGTTTCTGCCTGGCTGAGGATCTGGTGCCTGCCTGGCTGAGGATCTGGTTTCTGCCTGGCTGAGGATCTGGTTTCTGCCTGGCTGAGGATCTGGTGCCTGCCTGGCTGAGGATCTGGTGCCTGCCTGGCTGAGGATCTGGTATCTTCCTGGCTGAGGATCTGGTATCTGCCTGGCTGCAGATCTGGTTTCTGCCTGGCTGAGGATCTGGTGCCTGCCTGGCTGAGGATCTGGTTTCTGCCTGGCTGAGGATCTGGTTTCTGCCTGGCTGAGGATCTGGTTTCTGCCTGGCTGAGGATCTGGTGCCTGCCTGGCTATGGATCTGATGCCTGCCTGGCTGAGGATCTGGTGCCTGCCTGGCTGAGGATCTGGTGCCTGCCTGGCTGCGGATCTGGTGCCTGCCTGGCTGAGGATCTGGTATCTGCCTGGCTGAGGATCTGGTGCCTGCCTGGCTGAGGATCTGGTGCCTGCCTGGCTGCGGATCTGGTGCCTGCCTGGCTGAGGATCTGGTATCTGCCTGGCTGAGGATCTGGTGCCTGCCTGGCTGAGGATCTGGTATCTGCCTGGCTGAGGATCTGGTTTCTGCCTGGCTGCGGATCTGTTATCTGCCTGGCTGAGGGTCTGTTATCTACCTGGCTGCGGATCTGGTGCCTGCCTGGCTGAGGATCTGGTGCCTGCCTGGCTGCAGATCTGTTATCTGCCTGGCTGAGGATCTGGTTTCTGCCTGGCTGCAGATCTGTTATCTGCCTGGCTGAGGGTCTGTTATCTACCTGGCTGCGGATCTGGTGCCTGCCTGGCTGCAGATCTGGTGCCTGCCTAGCTGCTGATCTGGTGCCTGCCTGGCTGAGGATCTGGTATCTGCCTGGCTGAGGATCTGGTTTCTGCCTGGCTGCAGATCTGTTATCTGCCTGGCTGAGGGTCTGTTATCTACCTGGCTGTGGATCTGGTGCCTGCCTGGCTGCAGATCTGGTGCCTGCCTAGCTGCTGATCTGGTGCCTGCCTGGCTGAGGATCTGGTATCTGC